AGGGGATTTTCGTCTTCTCAATTTATCAAGATAAACGTCCCAAGGTTGTTTTGTTTACTAGAACGAAATATCCTTTGGCAGCATTACTTTTACAGCATTTTTCCATTGCACAAAAAATAGCAAATACTGTTACTGAAGCACAGAATTTGCATGAGTTGTTTCCCCCGGCCATTCACGCAAACTGCAAATCCGGTATTTTACCGCATACATATTTAGTTGTCACTTGACAGCCGCTATGATGGATGTATTGTGACGTATTTTGACCCCCGAATTCTGAACTTGCATTCTGGCCACATTTACTGCCCTTTCATACCCGTTCAATTTCCCTTCATTATCCCATACAGATTCCATGATATTTAATATTTAAATCAACTTTTATTTCAAAGTCACTCTAGTTTTCACTTTTCTAAAATTGTTTTACTGGTGAAAAGACTTTTCACTCCCATCATGCAATCTCCCATAGTACTTCCACGGATACAGCAGCAATCGCCAACATAACCACAAATAACCTCGCTCTCAGGAGCTGAGGAATGAGCCAATTAAATGATATTCGTAATCATGTACAATGTATGGTACATTAGGTCATAAAACAGTTTGGGAGGACGAAGTGTTTTATATATGTTGTTGTAAGGGGTGAATCTTTTAAATCATGGGGGGGGGGGTGGAAGAGTATCAACAGTGCATTTTTTTTGTTATCAGTGTCTATTACTGTAACGTGAACTAGAAGCCACATCTCTAATAAAAGTCGCACCCATTCAATTGAGAACTAAAAAATCACCATGTGTAGATGCTATAATAGAAGCCCCATCTCCTCTGTAGTATTGAACTATTTTAAACGAAACTGCAGCTTCTAATACAGATTTTACAGTAATCTATACAAGTTTTGAATGTGCCATGTTTTTGTCCCTGCAAACAAATAGCATGCATTTTTTTTTGCTTGGTTTTCTAGCTTGCAATTTACTTTTTCAACAAATCTTCCAGCCACCCCCATGACTTCAAATGGCTGCCCCCTAAACTAACTTCCAATCACAGACACAACATTAATACTTTGACAGTCCACTACAGTGAAGTACTTTATTTTCACTTGGAATTTATTTTCAGTACTTTTGCTGAATCAGTGTAAATATATTTTCTCCTATGTTTTACATTCAACTCAGTGAAAAATAAATGCAATACAAAACATCCAAAATGTTGTTTCAACTAAAATTAATTCCAGCTAAAATAAAGTATTTATCAGTATGTTCACAACATAGGAAAAATTGATCCAAATCAAAGTTCATATGTTCTAGCCACTCTTCCTCTAATTAATCTGTTAATTTGAATATTTAAGAAACACAAACACAATCTATAAGACACTGGATGGTTTATAAGGTTAACCATTTATTAACAGCAGTTCATATAGTGCCCAAGGCACACACACAGACTATTAATTCATATCTTTGGGCCAAATTTCTAGAAGTTCGAATTGAAAAAAAAAAGTATAAAAGATTTATTCTTTTGTTTTTTATACATTGATGTATTCAAAATCATGGGTATTCTACACAAATTGGGCAATGTGACAATTATCTTTTTGAGGTCATGCTTTCTTGCATTGCTTTAGTACCTACTAAACTCGATGACGACCCAATAATACCATAGGACTACCAACTCTTAAAACTGGTAGCCCACTAGAATACAAAGAATATTTTTTAATTTCCAGCTTTGAATGCCACTTTAATACAATGTTTGAATTGTCAATCTACTATATGCATGACTATTTGTAGAAATGAGACATTAAATTGCAAATCTGAGAGTTCAGGTTAAAACTAGGGCTGTATATCAAAAGTAACGCGAGGCCATTTAGAGAATAAAGTAGGGCACACTGCCCAGTATTTCATGGTAATAGTACAAGGATGGGGATATGCACAGTTATGGGTGAGACGGACGCAGTCAAGAAATTAAGAACATCCTTATCTAAGCCATGTTACTATGTTAACAGTATAGCAGGGTCCATAGCACCAAGAGCCAAATGATTTCCAAGACTTTTCCAGAGCTTTCACCAAACTTTCTTGCATTTTTCCCCCCAAGACATTTTGACCCTCAATTCAGGCCAACATCATCATCAAAGCTCATCAAAGTTCTGAGGATATGGTAAAACAAATTACCTTACCATAATAACTACGAAGAAATTTTAAAGGCTTTTCAAATTTTTTTTTTATATTTTTTCTGTGATTTAAAGACAACTTTCCAGACCTCAAAAAATCCAAAGACTTTCAAAGGATTTCCCCAACGCTATGGACCCTGTATAGAGTCCTTTTTATTTCTATTTTCATATCTTGAAAATATGAGCAGCAGTATGCTTGACTGTGTGGGTATAGCTCATCGAATAGAATGGCACTCAAAAGCAATATGTATGTGAAAACAGGATAGGTAATTTTGCGGATAAAAACAACCAGGATTAGATATGTTTAATTTTTGAATGATAATTACAAATGTGGGCGAACAGATAGATATTGCTGATTCACACACAATCTGGTTCGTGCATTGTCTCGGAGCACTACCCAGTTATCGATTGACATGTGATACTGATTGACCAATGAGGATGTACAGTTGTAGTATGGTATTAAAATTGTATGTACCGGCATATACTCACCACACAACAAACCCACTCCATTCATCTTAATGAATATTTATAAATTTCTATTGCGGTTGATCCAACCAGCCAATTAACGAATACATTGTACGATGACATCATCATTAGAAAATTTCAGGAAAAATTGAGTTTGTGGTGTGAAGAGTATAATATTTAGATTGAGGAGTGATTCTGAAAGTAAAACAGGACTCAGTGAACAACTTTTTTAAATCCCATTTTTTCGTTTTTTTTTTCAAATTTTTATGGAAAACTTTACTGGTATTCTTTCTAAAGATTTCCATCACGTTATAAAACTGAATATTTGGGACAATGGTTGACAGTATTGTGACATTGCGTGCTACGTGAAGTGATTCCCACAATGGTGTAAATGATAATGGCGGAATACACAATAACAATACATAGTCACCAGAGGTAACAAGGCAACACACAAATACGACCTTGCCAAGAATTGAACACAAGACGGCACCGTGTCTGTCACAATGGCCTCTCAACACATTGCTAGAGATCACGATGGACAACAAAACGAACAGGAGACACGGAAGGAAGCATCCAAATAAAACAACACTCACACAGCATAATATTACCAATAATGGCACATTGACCTGATCAGTCCTTTTACTTTGATTACTCAATAACCCTGGACATTAAGATGATGCCTGAATGGACTTGTATTGATTGTGACAGGCAGCCGGTCATAATCAATGATTTCAAGGACGTCATAGCATTATACGAATTGTAACTTCTACATAACTGACATAACTATGTCGATGTACCTACGTGTACAGTCAGTTTGAAATAAGATGCAGTCAGATTTAAATAAGACGACGAAAAATCTTTTGATACCGAGCGTTATGTTCGAAGCCACATTTTAAAGAACGGAAACTGTTTCTGGTTGATGGAGTTATAGAGAAGATATATCAATGATAAACAACGTTAATTTTTAATGAGACTTTTAAATCGCATAAATACATAGCAATGATACAATGAGTGAAATTAATGATGCATACACTCCAAACAATACCAATGCGTATTATTCCATACTATAGGTCCTTACGAATAATACAAAAAATAAACATTATGAAACTTTTGGGAAATTAGAATGTACATGTGCATTTTTTTTTGCACCATGTTTACTCTATTAGAAGTTTAATGAGCTTTTTGTAAATGATAAAGTTGTGTCTATAATCAAAATATGTTATATTTTAAAGACCAGTAAAACATTCATTCATTCACTCAGTATAAAATAATGTTTTGGTTAACGATAAAAACTAGACTATGGTACTTTTGAATAATCAGTTTTGAAAATTGGTCAAGCAGTTAGAACTTGTTGACTAAGTAAAAATTATTGATTACAAAACATTAGATGGAATACATAATGTATCATTTGGCGTCAGAAAGCAAAATTTACATAAAAAGACAATCGCTTGCAACAAATCAAGGCAAAAAAAACAACAGATTATGAATATGACAGAGTTAGCTCCATAGAAAAGACTTACTGATTTATCACACGAATAGGTAAAATGCATTTAATTTTTCTATTTTAATGAAAGCTGTTAAAACTCATTCGTTTTAATTGTTCCTAATTGTCTTTTTAAAAACAACATGCATGAAAATCAATGCAAACTGGTAATGCGTTTTTTGTTTTTGCGATTGTTAATATTCGGAAACTGTCCATAAAGTTTATGGCATTCTAGACTTCAAAGGTGAAAGGGCACTATAGCAGGTCAACTCATGTTTAAGAAATCACAGGGGATTTCACCATTTGTGCGATCGAATGTTCTAAAACATTCATTCACAATAAAATAAACTTTAAAAAAAAGTTTACATATATTTCATAGCAAACCAAAGAAACAACATTTTTTTGTATCAAACAAAGAATGAATAAAAAGTAATGATGTTATAAGTGAGTTGTTTTAAAAAAAAAGTGCAGACAAATTTGGGCCTGAAAGTCTTGTGGTGTAATAGGTAATGGATCATACATTAAATATTAAATTATACCTTTTTTGAAAAAAGAATTCTGGCAATAAAACAAAAGATTGATTTTTGAAAATGTGTCATGAAGCAAAAATACCAACAATATTTAAGCAATAATATTCTAGAATGATATGAAACTAGATAAAATTTATAAAAATGCATGTACATATAAACACAGTCATGTTAATTTACTCAGGCCATTTGGCAGCGCCCTCTAGAGGGCATATTAAGAACTGCAATTACTTTTGCAAAATTTTTTAAGATTTGCTATAACAATTTCCCGAAAGGGGGACATTTTTTGAAGATATATTCTCAAAGTAACAAAGTCTCTTCTGAGATGTTAAAACCTCAAGGCCATATATCTGTATTATTGTATCATGCACCACGTACTCACCGGTAATAACAGCAATGAATCCAGTGAGTGCCTGGCCGCACCACGCTGTCGCTGACAAAACTCAGCAAATTCAGGGTCACTGTTGTGTTTTCTCTCATTCAAAATCCTAAATTTAAAAAATAAACAACTGGTGAAATTTTCTTATAATACTAGTAATGAATGTTGTTGTATGATGTGTAGAAAACTTTTCACTGACCTCTGTAAACATCATACAGACTTTGCATTTTGTAGAGTTCATGAGAAATCTTATGTAATAGAATTATGTAATTGAATTTAGGAATTCATTATACCTAAATATGACCTTGATTGATTACAGCAACGAAAAGTAATTTGATAATTAAACACCATAACTTTTGGTGCAGGCTAACTTCAATACTCCAATGTTTCAAGATTTGTTGCCATGCCAACTGATTTTATCTTATAGTGATCACAATAATCAGTGGAATGCAACTTTAAATATAGTATGAATGCGAAATTGTTACTCATAGTTGACAATGTGTTAGATACAGGGTAGTGTTCCTATTCACTGATGTATGGACTGTAAAAGATTACTAGTGCTCATACACAGATGTAGGTTTCTGTTATTCAACACTGGTGGCGCTATTACATCAGATAATATGTAACCCTGTGTGCATAAGGAAAATACTGTACAAAGGTTTTCATTTCAGCGGATTTGATGTTGCAGAGATATTAACTAGGTTTAAGATTAGCTGGTTTCTGAAAAAAACTTTATTTTATTGTTGAATGTGCACATTAACCGGGTTTTAATTCACCTATTTAATGAAATAACTAAAAATAAAACCTCAAAATATTAAGCTATACAAAGTGGATTTTTCGTTACTACTAGTAACTATTCCGGAGAGTGATAAAGCACAGCACATAATTAGTTAAACAAATCAAAATTATTGAACCGAACATTTTTTTTAATGACTTTTAACACATCCTTGTGAATTGGGTCTGACCTACCCACATACAATAATAGAATACACCACATCCTGGAATAACTGATTTTTACATACTGAAAAATAGAACAAATCAATATATTAGAGGTAGATAATACTTACATTCGTATGGAGGGATGGCGGAGATAATAATCTTCGTACCTTGCTAACAAGTCACTGCTAAATAATGTTTCTGTAAAGAGTTGAAAAAGGCAAGTGACAGCGTAAACATGTTGACAAATAAAGAGAACGTTATGGTCCACTGAATTTCAAGTACGAGGTATGATTTATAGCCCAATCATTAGCAATTCTCCCTTCCCCCCCTCTAGGAACAATTGGCCAGTCAAGGTAATAAACATGGTAAACTTTCCCAGGCTATCAGCTGCCAATGTCATATTAAAATCCATTTCGTGAGAAAAGTGTTCTCATAAAAAAAATGTTTCTCAGTCTATTTGAGACACCTAAGTCAGTACGTAAACTCCGTAGCCAATATGTTGTGTAGTAATGAAAAACACACGTTAGGATTCAATGTTATGGCCATCAAAGTGTTCATCAGTTAAACCTGCATACACCTGCCATCTTACAAGGTTTTTTAAAACATAGATTTTAAGATTTGTGAAACTGTGTCATACAGAGAGCAACTCCTGCTTAAAGTGCCTGTGCAATGCCCACCCTCACGTTTCCCATTTTAGATCTGTATCCCACTGAAATGGGCAGTTATTGATTTTTTTGCTGAAAATGATTACTTGTATCCAAGTAAATTTGGAATATTTCTCGTGTTGTAGCCACGCCCACCTATCCTGAAACGGTCGACTGTTTCTAGATTTCCGACTCTCGCCGAAAGTCCACCACCAAATGCCAAAATGTGAGAGGAAGTCATACCCCTGAGCCATAATAACACTGGTCATTCAGTATACTTTTAAACGATATACATTTTTCAGTCGGCGTTTTTTTTCTTTCTTTTTTTGTCTATTTTCTTTTTTTTTTTGAAAGAGAGAGTTTTTAGATGTTGTGTTGTGGGCAGTTGCAGTGAAACGTATAGTCATAATGTAAGTATTCACACGTTTCTAATCGATCCGAAGGTGCGACATCAGTGGACGAAAGCCACTTAACCTCAGATTCCTTTTTTGGAAAAACTGTCCTCGTCCATGAAAAAAAAAAACTAGGTTAAAAGAAAAACGCCGACAACATAAACCTGGCGCAACACTTTTGAAAGAAATAGATTCCTGACCATGATCACCGAGGCGGATTTCAGAAGAGAGCGAGACGTCCGGCAAGTGTTTCAAATGAGTTGACTTTTTTGCGATCCTGATTATCGTTTTATAGAGACCATTTAGTCCCTGTTAAGTAAAAGGTAGCAATAATTTTGACAGTGACACGAAAACGAAGCGTTGAACAAACAGGAAATTACACAGCCCTTACACACTGCTAATTGTTTTCATTTTCGAAGGCTAAAAGTTTCTGAATTGTTTGGTGGTTTGTGTTGAATGTCGAATTCACACCTCTGTTCTTTTTTTACCTCCATGCTTGCAGCTTGATCTGCGTAATAATTTCTGAATTAAGAATCCGGGCTTGGTCAATGTGTTTCCACCAAATAAAGTTTTAATATGATGTTATTATTATGACAATCACGCCATGGATCACGCTAACTCGAATCCACTCTGAATTTATCTGTATGTGTGTTGATCTCGATTATTTTTGTTATCCAATTAAACGCCGCTTTTAACGCACTTGCCCTCGTCACCTATTCACCTATTTCAACAAAATTTCAATTTATTTCCACGCGGCTGTCATTTATTTAGTAACTGTGATTTGTCGTTTTTTTTAAATTATTTTATAGTGATCACTATGGTCAAATGTTTAGAATGTCAAAATATGTTCTCTTTTATTTTAATTTTGAAAGTTTTACACAGACGATTGATGCCTAGTAACCTGCTAAATAACGAGATAATTCCGACGTCAAATTATATTTTGTCCAGCGACAGTGTACAAACGTGCGCCGCTGACGATCACGGTGACCAGCTACACCAGAACGAACATATTTTGCATCTAACTCAACCCCATGCAACAAAAATTGATACTATGTGTTCATTATGGTCCATTTCTCCTCGACGAACAAGTACATAAGTGAAAATTTAGTCAAAGACGAGAAAACTGCAGAAGAAATTGGCCTTATTTACACGTATCGGCAATGCAAGCTGCCATGCGACTTCCCCTTCTGATGTCACAAGGGGAATTTCTGTATGCAAATAAGAAGCTAATGAGGAGCCTTGTTTTAAAATACACAAAAATAAAGTTGCCGTAGATTGAGTTTAAAACACATTTTTTCACTTAAAAAAATAATTCATGCTTAGAAACATAAAAAAATAATAATATTTATGTATCAATGGATAATTTTAGGCGTGAAAATAGCAGCCATTTCACAGGCACTTTAATCCTTTGTGTACCATAATATTCCCAGCCCCCCCCCAAAAAAGTATGGTAAAAGTTGAGCAAGTTTATTTTGTGAAAGGGACTAAAAATTGATCAAAGGGTTTTTGTAGTAGTACCATAATCTGTATTAGAAGCTGCATCCCTAATAGAAGTCGCACCCATTCTTTTTGAACAATTGAGAACCAAAAATTCACCATTTCTTATATGCGTAGATGCTCTAATAGAAGTCGCATCCCCTCTGTTGCATTGAACCATTTTAATAAAAGTCGCGGCTTCTAATACAGATTTTACATTACTGCACCAATGAGATGAAAATACTTATTATTTAAGGAAAGAGATAGAATGTAAAGCAACTAGTCTTGATTTTCTGTTCTGTCAACCATACTTGACTTTTCATCATAAATTCACAAAATCGTCCTGTTTATAGTCTGCACATTCTTTCAGAAAATAAGGACAAAAATAACCAAATTTTTTGAGTAAAAACTGAAATTAACTCAAATTTTGTCTGTTGGCTCTAAAATTAGGGTTCATTTCTAAAAATACTGAAGAATATAAGAAAAAAAGAAAAAAAAGTGCCGAAAAAATTGGGCAAGAAAGTCTGGTGATGAAAAGGTTAACTGCTCTATGAAGTCAGACATGTAATTTGAAACAGTCAGTTCATTTTTTTTATTACACAGTGGTAAATTAGTAGTTTTCTGTCCTTTGAACAAAATACACAAAACTTGGGTCTGAGGTAAAAAAAAATTTCACAAAGAGCCATATGTTAATCAGTTCATCAAAAGATCATCACCTACTGTAAATGCATTAATTATTCACTGGGTTTGAATTTCACCATTTTCGCTGATTAGTAAAATCCGCTAAATTAAATCTACGAGAACATGTAAAACAACAAGAAAACTCCTGTTTTCTTGTCAAATTTGTGAAATTAAAACACAGTGAATATGATCAAAACATCAAAAGAGTGAAATTAAATGTCAGTGAAAATAAATGGTTTTACAGTATGACATATGGCTGGGTGGGGGTGGGTCATCCTGAGCCTAGAAATTTTGAATCAAAATTCAAATTAAACTAATGGCATAATGAAAGTTTCATCTTTGCATTAAAATTCGTTAGGCCAGACTTTTTTTATTCCTTGTTTCTCAAGTTTTTATAAGGCAATTTTTTTGAGGAGGGCGAAAAAAAAATTAAATTAATTCTTTTTTTTTCCATTAGATTTGTGTGATTCTCAAAGAATTGTAAGTGAGATCATTGATCGGAGAGAAGAAATGAAATAAAATTTTATTCCATGTATAACCTTGTTTCTCGTCTGCGCGAGATGATACATCATGATACTCCCACGAAAATGCAACTTGAGTTTGTTATGCGGTGGGCGGAAAAAAATTGAAGATAAAAATAAATTTGTTTAGCAATTTTTAGCACTTACAAGTTCGGCGGGCACGAGAAACTACGCTGAAATAAAATTTTATTTTTATTTCATTTTCGGCTCCTGCTTATTAGGTGAAATCGCAAAACAAGGGATAATAAAAGTCTGGCCTTGAAACAAGCTTTCAACTTCTTGCAAAAATAAACAAACCCTTGCTTGTTAACACATTCACGTACTTTCTAATTTAATTCTAATTTACGCAAAGATCTCTGACAATGCTAGGCAATGAAAAACTAATGATGCGCAGTAAATCTGTGTGCTAGTTCTCTGTGAAGTCTCAGTGTAGCTCAGTACTTCAGTTAAATGTTCTTCAAGACCAATGAAGCAATCGCAGGATTGCAGTAACCTCATTTGCACAGAGCCATCTAATTGGATGGCATGCCAACTGTCATCCACCAATCAGATCAAAACACAGAAATTGTTGAATTCGTACACCTTACAAAATCAAGACTAGTGTACTTTCCTGTGGTCACATGATGACCACTGGCCATCAACAAGGACAAAAGAACACTTCACAACAATTACGATATCCAGCCCTCATTGATCACAGACATTACCCCAATTCCTAGGTGTCTCATAAACACTTTCAAACACCCTCAAATAAATTACAACTTGTCATGTTCGATTGCAGTAAAAAAGACTCTTATGAATAGAATGATGATAAGAATTAAAACTGTCCTCTAATTTAAAGATGAAATAAATGTATTGTTACTTACCCAAGGACACGGAGCAAGTCTCCCAGTTCAACACTAAACTTTGCAGCTGTATAGAAATAAATAAAACTTAATTGTTAAGTTAGAAGAAAAAAAAAACAAGTTAATCAACAAATCAACTCGTATCTGTTCATTATTGCAGCCGCTTGACGTCAACAAGTGCACACACAATGAACGTTACAATAACTTGTATCTGAGTAACAGAAAAACTCTGACTGGAAATGGGGGAAAACTATCAACAACTTGGAACCGAGTGTTTTTCACATCAGAAAAACAAGACATGGGGTTATAAATAGAACAAGTACATGAATATCCCTGACAAACATGTACACTATCATAATAAACTGTAATTCATTCCTTTGTTTGGCATTCCTTTTATGATGAACTTTTAAACATTTTGCAAAAACATGCACCTACTCTGTCGTTCATATACAGTATATCATACTCTACAAGACTGACAGAAAATTGTAAGATTGACTTTTCCTAATTACTGAAAACATTTTTTATTGAAAACTGATGCACAATATTTTTATTATTGATTGCATAACGTTGTTTTCTATCTATGGAGGAAATTCTGAACTATATTTCTGTGATCAACATAGTTTGAATTTTACAATTTTGATAAATTGGTACCATTTCTAGTCAGTTAATTATAAAACACTAGTTTAGGTCATGTGACCTTTAATAATGTTAAAGTGCTTTAGCAATATAAAAAGCCTTTTGTAGAAAAATGATAGTGATACAAAACAAGCAGAACTTGATGTTCAAAGAAAAATACATTGCATTCTGGGTAGTGTTCTCTCTAAGCCTTATTTTCATAAAATAAAACCAGGTTTCTCAGTCAGGTGACTAGGCTTCTCAGTCAGGTGACTAAGTTTCTCAGTCAGGTGACCAGGTTTCTCAGTCAGGTGACCAGCATTGTAAAAAAAACATTTCCTCTAATTTCATGCATTTTGAACTCAAATACACTGGACTCAAGAAGTTTTTTGAGATGAAAACCCAAAATTTTTCAGTCTTAAATTTGATAAACATATCATCGATTCTGGGAACTTACCTTGGTGAATAAATTAGTACAAACAGCTATCATTGGTTCTATCCAACTAAATAAGATTGCATATTCCTCTTGGCTAAGATATGTGCATTTCCTGAAAATTAAAAAAAAAATTTTAAGTTGAAAGAGAATGAAAATTGAATTGTCATATTTGATAGCATTTATTCAAATTGCTATGACGACATGCAGTGTCATTGACATCACTGATCCAGAGTTATAAGGAAACCAGAATTGCAATTGCATATTACAGCACATGGTGAGAGTGTGTACAAATCCTTAGCAGTCACTAGGTTTGTTAGCTGGTATATATATATCTGGTAGCGTTGCTTATGTGTGGGCTTTGAATACGTTCGGCAAAATCAATGAGGTTTGATTGACTAACCTCATTGATGGTGCTGAAAGTTACTTTGCGTAAAACGTAAACTTCAATTGACCTCACTGAGATGATGCATGCATTGTGGAATACAGAAAAAAATATCCGAAGCATGTGATCTGCGTACACAATATGCTAATAACTTTAACGAGGTTATGATGAAGACATATCTCATGAATATTATTTTAAAGTACAATTATTATTAGAAATAAGAACCACCGGAATCATGTATATTAGGTCTTGACCCCCACTCTGTCTATTGCGGTTATTTGTAGACTGTACACGCTTTCTTTCATACTAAACAAAAAAAAAATCTACAGGAAATGAATCTCACACCTTTGACAGAAGTAAATCTGTTATGGGTTACAAGAAACTGACACAGTATAATACCACAGCCATGTTTTTCTAATGGCTATGCCCTGGTTTACTCCACCATATTGTTGCAAACACAAAAAACAGCAACAGTAACAGCTAAATCAATGACTGGTGTGCAGTGCACAACTTTTGATCGTCACGTGATTAGAACTGGTTTACGAAGTTGCATCGTTTCATTAAATGCCCACATTTACATACTATCGACTATGTCCTGACATTTCATACTGTGGAAGTACACACATTATGCTTAGATAACTTTGCCATTTATTATTATACAGCAATTTATGTGATTGAATGAAATAAATTGAAAGGCAATTGCATCGTGATCTCATATTTATATTCAATGTGATCGAGCCCCTCCCTTTGATGTCTCCAGTTGAGGTTGTTTTTTCCCAACTTGTTCTAATCACGTAACATTTTTATGAAACGCATAGCAAACTAGTCCGCAATCATTTTGGTCTTCGGAATGATGACAGTAAGTTTAGGTAGAGTTAAGTGTCTGTCACAATCACAGTAAACGGAAGATGACATCACAAACTCTGAAATTTTAGTGAATTTTTAACATCTCACATGCAAATCACCAAGATCTTCCATACACTGCGTTACAATCAATATATGACGATATAAGTGGAAATCTCGGAGTAGTTAAAATGCAATGGCTTCGCAACACATGTCAAAATATATTATTGTCATGACCCAATATTCAGGTATCTAGTAACTAACATAAATCATCAACACAACATACAGCTGTGAAGTTTATAAAACTTTGCTTAATACACCTCTTATATACCCTAGGCTATATTAAACTGTGTCAAGTACTGTGTCAAATTAACAACAGGACACTAGAAATGTGAAAAATTGCCTTTTTGATCTAAATTCCATCTCCTAAGTCTGAGAGTTACCCTATTTGTACTTAAATACACATTTGTGTTTGTCTGTTATGTGATACAAGAAAACCATTTTTATTCACTGGTACAAGGTTCACAGAGTCACAATTTTTTTTTTCAAAACTGACTGTGATTAGATCAACTGGTCCAAAAACAGCATTTGTTGAAATGAAAATAGCCAGTCAGTTTTTAATCTGAGCTGAAAAAAAATGACGTCATCAATGACAAACTATGTTCAATGAAAGTTTGAATGAAATATGTTCACACGCAACTTAGAAATGCTTAATTTTGATGATTTTTTAGCACTAGAATGACTGCCAGTCGGCCATCTTCAATCATGAAATAAATCCATGTGTATATGTATGATATGTATATGTGAAAATTGAATGAAATCCGATCAGCAATACCGATATCTGAAATACAGGTGTGGATGGACAGATGGACATGGCCGCATGGAGCTGAAATTATCGGTATTAATTCTGTTTTCACATTACGTTCGAATTGAGGCTAAAATAATTGTATTCATACTGACCTGACAGTATCTACACAGCCATTCACACCTACTTGTTTGAACAAATGCTTAGTTTGACTGATTGTTGTGTTTGGGCTTCCATGTATGTATTACCGGTAGAATACTATTTTGGTAGCAATCAAATAGGCATGAGTGTTCCCTGGACTGTGAACAATGTTTTTTTACAGACATATTTGGACTGTGCAGGTCTGTTATTGAACAAGTCTATCGAAAGTCTAGAAAATTGGTTTAAAGATGTTTTTGGTTTCCATAGGATTTGATATAAGAGGTACAAGTAAATTGCTTATATTTTGCAAGAGACAATTTTTTGTGTGTTTGAAAATCAAGTTTTGTAAGCAGTGAAAATTTCTCTGGAGTCTAAAAGAGGTTTAAGCTGAATTTAAGATTACATGTAATGTTCATGATACTTTTATCATTACAGGTTATTACTATCTAGATACTGAAAATAAAAACAAAAGTTTGGGTTTGGGAGATACACATGTCACAAATGGTCAAAATTTGCATTTTTACACTGGTTTTTATGGTGGGATTATTTCACAATTTGATGAAAAAGTCATACCGGTATATTATTATTGACATAAAACCTAATACTGAGAAAACATTTAAAAAATTGACATATAATTTAGTGAGTTTCCAAGGTGATAATAATCTTCCAATACATAGTATAGGAGGTCCTCTCCCATAATGCATTGCATTTATGTGCAGTAAAATGCTCAGTATAGCAAAATTTGAAGACATGGAGTGTCAGTGACTATAATGAAATTAATGACATCGGAGATAAAAAGTTGTTGGGAACAATGACCGACATCAACTGACAATCAGTAACGTGATGAGCGCCACTTAGCGAAGTCAACATTGAAGCGAAAAGACAGCAAATCATAAAAATACAGTTTACAGAACTAAGTTGTATTATTTATTTTCAAAAAGCATATTCATATATCCTAATGTTTATAGTATAAATAAGAATTACCCAGCTTTGCAAAAAACAGCGCCCTCTATGACACTTACCTGAGTGGTTCTGAATACAATAGTTTTAAACTATGCAGACATTCCAAGTAATTCTTTTCTGACTGAAAAATTCTATAAAATATTCGTAATCTGTCATCAGCATCTGTGGTGGAATAAACAAAAATTAAATATGAATCTCATACTAGCCAGACAGAAATAATATCTGAAGTGTTTTGACATGACCATGGAAGCATCAATGTTGGTACAAAAATGTACAGATCTCCAAAACAAACAGAACCAATGCATCACCTATCACACGTAATATCACAAATGTTTTTAAAGTCATACAAAAATAATGATAGTACTATTCTCAGGAGCGAACATCCAGGTATTTTCACCTCTTGGCAACCATAACTAGTGAAAACAGTGGTCAAAAACCCTAAAAAAAACTGTACTTTGGGATAGTTGTCAAGACTCTCCTGAACAGTGTAACAAGATTACCCCTACATGTGAAACATGTATCAATTTAGTTGTTCATGATAGCTACATACTGTAGTTGAGTTTGTGCTGTTTTATCAACTTTATCTGTTTTCATTCACAAATTATTCGAACTGCGTTCTACAGCAGCTCAGGTAGCACCCATAGGAATACATGGTGCAGAATATATTAGTATTCTTTAATGTTGTAATTTTTTGCCGAATAAAACAAAAAAACATATTTCATGGTTGTCAATATAGCTATATACAATATACTTTTACTTTATCTATCAGTGTATCCCTAAAGTAAATTTGTCACTGAGAAGTGTAATTTTATGTCAAAAATCACCTTAAATATGTGAAATGTTCACAAAATAACTGACTGAGAAGATTTCACAGAAATAAGGCTTAGAGGGAACACTGTGTACAAATACATTATATCGTATCTACAAGTGTATAGCTCTGACATACATGTATGTGTTAAGAATTTGGGATTGGGGTTACTATGGGTACCCCTCTCCATCCTCCCGAAATGATATAATGTGGATGACCAAACAATGGGATCACAAAAATGTCTGAAACAGAGCTGTGTTCTAAGTATAGGTGTTTTTAAATAATTCTGCCGATTTAATTAAAGAAACAAACAAGATCTGTGGGGGCAATCAGCGACAGCTGTCCCGTGTCAATACAAGATATCAAGTGACCATGTGATTTATTGCATGATGTCAACAGACCTATGTTGATGGTCTCAATTTGCAAAACACTGACCAACAAAGTATGTACATATAAAGACGACCTTTAACCTTTCCACAATACTGAATCTGGGGCAGGTTTCTTATAATTTCTTGTTTTTTGAATTTTGATCAAAAGTTTTTAAGAAATGGGAGGATTTATTTTAAAGAATAGAAGAAATTTTGACGGAGAATGAACGTCATCACAGGTGTATTCTTAGTATGCCGTAATTATTTACTACTGATAGATAATATAAATTTAGAGAATTCCAATACTAGTAACAACAGACCAATAGACAGAAACAGGTATTTATCTAGGAGACACAATATGAGGCTTGACACCTTCTATACACCAACTACTACACTTGTAGTATTCACTACAATATCTCCCATCATAAAACAATATCAAGGGTTCATAAGTTAAGGGCAGACAACTGTTGTGATCAGCCATCAAGATCTCATGTGAACTTGTGAGATGAAGAAGTATGGTACGCAGATATCAAAGTACCAAAATGTGATCCAATAAATCCTTCATACGCTACATGCAGTGAGTTATTGTTGCCAAAAAAACGTGTGATAAGTAATTACACCTACATACCTTGAGGAAGATAGACAGATACGTCTCCTTTACTATCTTCAAATATAATACTTTTATTGGCAAGTAATACGGCATCGGCCTCACTGTTTAACAGCGCTAGGGTATCACTTGACTTTATACGATACTCTGAAATTTTAAATTCTAAAATAATATCTGCTATCAAGTCACGGACACGCATTCCGACTTCACCTTGTAGCTGCAACAACAACAAAGTGTCAAGTAAATGATATTGTATAACAATCAGTGTTGGTATATATAGTCAGAGCTGTTAGAATATTATTTTTTTTCAGGTTTCTTACTTTCCTTGGCAGACTTCTTATGTATCTTATTTTTTTTTTATTTTTCAATATTAAATGTAGTTGACATGCCTGCTACCAGTGATCAACTTCTAAAATGTTTGTTTTTGCTCTAAAATAACTACAACACAATTCAAAAATTGGGACTTGCAGTAGCTGTGTTGAATTAATACAAATGCTTGTAATTGGTTTTCCAAATAATGTTATCTGCTTCTAATTGCTTTTAATACATGTACTTTCATGTTCACCTTTAGGCCTATACCAAAACACCTGTATTACAAATCAGTAAGAACTCTGATTGTTTGTTATTTGTTTCCTCTACTCTTAATCTCAATCTCAAACAAGATTGTCTTAACGCATGGAGAAGTCAAAGAATAAATTCGTCATAATTTGAGCATATAAATGATTTTAAATAATGATAATTTCTCAGAAAAATAGTTTACAATTCATTTTATCTATTGGAGACTAAATTAACATAATTTTTTGGAGTCCAATTTTAAAATATAATTTTTTTTCATTTGTGAAGTCTCATGTCCCAAATACACTACTTTTACATTTTACTGTGGCGTGCACAAGTCCAGTGAATGTCTAAACGGGAGAAAGGTTGTCAATCTCCCGCGGACATGTCACATAATTGTTCGCAACTCCTCTGTCATGAATGGAAGAATCTTTACAATGGGAGACATTTGTAAAGGTGGTGGCGGGGAAAATCCACCACCTGAAATGAACGTTTGATTGTAACCAAGTCCACCGTTGCAGTACACTCAAGTATTCATATTAATTCTGCCTGTTCAAGTTCAGTTGTATGGCACAAGCAAATCAGATCCATCATACCTGTTTTATAATTAGTATTTTGACTTTCAATGCAAGCAGTTTAGAAGTCTTTCAAAAGTGGTGTATTGCCAGAAGCAACACTGTCCCTATGATTGGAAGGAACTGTAACTATCAAACCAGCTCTGAGAACAATCTATTTTCAATACAAAGCGGTATACTTTGAAAAAAAAATGCTGGAAAACAGAATTTTAAGATGCTAAAACTTCCTGGGTTACGTGAAGCAAGCTTCCGTAAAAATATTTTTCATTTCAATGAATAATCTGTCAAATTCTCTGTGAAATTTTATGCATTATGAAATATTCAAGGCGTTTTTTTTTAATTCTCACTGCTAAATTTACTGTAATCATGCATGTAATCACATTTTTTCACAATATAATGATTTTTAAACACAACATTTTCTAAGCAACTACTTGCAACAAAA